CACCAATTGGAATACAGTGTCACAGTGCATTAGATACACTGTCCCTCCCCACCCCTGGGTCCGGGGGTGCGGGGGGAGTCACGGTGCGTTAGATACACTGTCCTTCCACCCCTGGGACTTGGGTGGGGGGTGGGGGGATGGTGGTCACAGCACGTTAGCTTCAGTATCCTGTACGTTTCAATCAGATTCCCCTGTTATCCTTCTAAACTCCATCGAGTACAGACCCAGAGGCCTCAACCATTCCTCCCAAGTCAAGCCCTTCATCCCCAGGATTGTTCTTGTAAACCTCCTCTGGATCCCCACCCCCCACCTCCAACGTCGGCACATCCCTCATGGGATAAGGGGCCCAAAACTGCTTCCGATATTCCCAACGTGGAGGCCAAGCCATTGAGTGTATTCAAGATGGAGACAGACCGGGAGCAGGATCAAGGGTTAGAGGAGGACAACGGGGTTGAGAAACATACCAGACGTCACCGGATGGTAGGAACAGGCTCGGCGGGCTGAGTGGCCTCAATCCTGCCGGTTTCCCTTGCGGTAAGGGTGCTGGGGAGAGCTGGAGAGCTGCCATTATTGCAAGGGAGCTGTGAGACTACGCGCATCGATAAACTCTCCCCGCTCCGGGACGTTCTTCGAGTCGCGTTGGCGGGGTCTGACCGATGCCAACCCTCTCTCTCTCTCTTCCTCTCCGCCACCCACCCCACCCTCCCTGCAGGGCAATGACGTTTTACCAACTCTGGGGGCACTGGAACGCGCTGGACGAGAGTTTCGCCTGGATACGGGAGAAGGCCCCGTCGGGGCGGTCCGGAGGAGCCGGGGGTTCTCCGGGCACGGCTCCGGGGGCCGGGGGAGAGAGGCCGGAAGAGGCGTCCGCTCAGCCGACGGTCTACCGCAGGGTGGGTAAACACGCCAAGCCTCGGGGCGCCCAGGCGCCCGCTGGCCGCGGTTTCAATCCCGTCATCGGGCGGCCCATCCAGCTCCCGGAACTGGCTTCCAGCTCGCGCAAGGACGACATCACCAAGGTCCTGCAAACCCTCCAGCTGATACGATCCAGGAGCGGGCAGGGGTTGGCGGAGAGTGGGCAGGATCACATCAGCTATGCCCAGTTGGCAGAATAGAAGCACAGACACACACACAGAGAGAGAGAGAAAGAGAGAGATATTTAACCGTCACAAGGAGAGGGAGACAGACGGCTCGGCGAACCACCAGCCCCCACCCCCTTGAACGCAACTGACCCTCACCCCTACTTCGGGACCAATCCCCCCTCCCCTCCACTCCCCTCCTATCCCACCCCAATCGAGTCTACCCTTGTAATTAAAATCACCGTTTTAATCAAGGCAGCTCTCGCTCTCTCGTCGTCTTTTCTAGGGAAGGTAAAGCTCCCTCTACACTGCTCCGCCACCCTCCCACCCCCCCATTCCCAGTACAGGGACAGCACGGGGTTAGATGCAGAGTAAAGCTCCCTCT